ACAAGCTCCGCAGGCTGCGAATAAACTGAGAAACCTGTCCAGTGAACCGGCAAGTAGACAAGCATGGGCAATCACATGGGGATCGCCCCTGTCTGATACCGTTTCGTGGAAAGACGAGGTGTCAACAGAAGGAAGCTATTGAAACAAACCTCGGGGATCACGCACCTGCATCGCAGCATGTCGTGGCACTTTGAGTGTGGACATCTACCAATTGGCGAGCCATGAGATTGAAGGGTTCTGAACGTCTCAGCTGCCAAAGCTCAACACATCTCAAGACGGTGTTAGAGCGCTACCATTCCAGTGTCGACAAGCTCCGCAGGCTGCGAATAAACAGAGAAACCTGTCCAGTGAACCGTCAAGTAGACAAGCATGGGCAATCACATGGGGATCGCCCCTGTCTGATACACCTACAGCACCATGGGCAGGAAGAAAAGACAACCCGAACTCGGTTCAGGATGCATACGTGCACGCCCCTTTGCCAGGGGACCAAGGGACTGACGATCTCATTATCATCAGTGTCAGCCGGCGCACGGGGAATTCGCCAATTGCTCGGATTCTGTGCATCAATTTCACGCCAGGGAGCCGCAGACAGCACAGACTTGCTCGTCCGGCCTCACCTGGGTGTTGGGATGCAGGACAAGCATGCTGAAAGCAATTGCAGCCCCGTCTACAGCCCGTTTCTCCGTGTGGTGGAAGCCCGGAGCAGCCATCGCGCAACACTACTTCTTCTTTAATTGAAGTCTGGATGCCCGACCGAGCCATTTTGTTTACCTGACTTGGAAGCTCTTGCTTTAAGATTTGCCGCCGAGTTGCAGCAGATCCACAGCAGTCGCAACGAAAGCCCAAGCATGGCTTGTAAGCCTCTGCTTGGAAACGCATGTTGTGCCATGAATCATGTTTATCCCCCAAGCCCAAGCGCACACAATCGCTACAGTGCTACACCCTAAGGCTCTGAGGCCCCTGCCTGTCGAAGATGCTCGGCGTCGTCACTCTGCATCCACTCGTGCAGTTGCTTCAGCGCCTCTACAGCCTCAGTGTCAGCGCAGTGTTCGCAGCGAAACGCGACGGTACAGGACTAGTACAAGACTCATCGGAAACAAGTCCTGTTCTGAGAATGCCCGGAACTCCATCCGAGCATCTAAGCCCCTGTACAACCTTGTTGTGCCGGTCTCAGGTGCATTGTCCCAGGAGTGGGCCTTCACTCCCACTGGCACACGGGGAAGGAGCTCGTTCCTTGGCAGACTTGGGGCTTTGGGGATACTTTCCCTGGCGTCTCGCGCCAGACCCGAATGCTGCTGCTTACCATCTCTCGCCTGCCGAATGAACCCTCATCCTCGTGTTCGGCTTTAGGACAACTCTTGCTTCTAAAACCCTGAGTCACGTGACGATTGTTGCAGCCGAAATTCGCCACCAGTTTGCCCAGATATGCCAGCCACTTCCTGACAGTGTATGAAATTTTTTGTGGGCACGGAGAATGAGGTGCTAGAGAAAGGCCTTGGGTACAAGAAGGCATACGCAAGTTTGACGGAAGCTTTGGCACAGTGATACATCCCCAGTCGGCATTCAAGCATGTGACACGCTTGCAGAAGCTACGGCATTCCAAGAGACGGTTTGTCTGCACGAAACTCTTCGTTGATGCATGCAAGCCGTTGCTTCCTTGCATCGTGTGGGCAGCCATTGGGCAGGTGCTTCAGAGGCTGATGACACTATACAAAGTTGCTTCAGCTACAGAACAGTGACTGAAATACCCGTCTTCTTTCAAGGCATGCATATTTCTCTCTTCGTTGAGCCACTTTTGAGACCGAAGCATGCGCAAGTGGACATTGCCGTCAATCAAAGCGATTGGGCATCGGGGTGGCAGCTCCTGCCCGTCAAGAGCTTGCATTGATGTCACATCTCCGACCAGACTGCTGTCTGCTCTTGAGAGACAGAAAGGGAGCGGGCGAGAGAGAGAGAGAGAGAGAGAGAGAGAGAGACAGAGATACAGAGCAAGCAGGCGAATTCCTCGGTCTGTCTCAGAGGTGCAGTCCTTAACGCTAGGCATCACTAGCGATGTGTTCGCTTCGCAAAGAGGCTCGTCTTGCTCCTGCAGGCATGGCGCAACTTCGTGGCTGCATCATCCTGCGAACAACAGCAAGGCACTGCCAAACCCAGCATGATCCTTGTTGTCCAAGTTCAAGTCATTACAGTCATGCAAGTCGTCGTCCATTGAATCATCTGACAGGTCGCTGTCATCTCCTGGTCGGGCTCAGTCGAACTTGGGCTATCGACTGTCAGGACTCAGGAGTGCGACTTTGCTGCTTGACCAAGTCTCCTCCATCGGCCGTCGAGGGACCATCCGAGCTGTCATCTGCCAGAAGCTTGCAGCAATGCGCTCCACGAGGCTGAATTTACTCTACGACCACTGCCCCAGGACAACGCTGACCGCTGTCAAACGCACTTCGAGTTGGTCACTGTGACGTGCATGCTTATTCGGCTTGTGCAAGACACACAATTTGCACTCGCAGACCGACAGCAAATCAGAGACAGCCCGATGACGGTCTGTCATTGCAGGACGGCTTTCAGGAGCCGCTGTTCTGGCTTTCGACAGATTCCTGCTTCAAAGATGCAACACTGATGCTGCCGACGCGACTTTCACAAAGCTTGCCGGAGGGTCACTAGTCTTCGACAGCAGAGCGTTCAGGCCAAGATATGCCAAAACGTGACGACAATCTCTAAGCTGAGACGGGGTGCCTGAGGGGGGGGTCTCAGGTTGAACACGGTTGCACAAAAGATGCTCCGGTCCAGGTATAGGTCACGGTGAGAAACGCAAAGAGGAGCATCCACGAAAGACAAGTTTCAACTAATCATGCCCCCATCATGCCCTGCACACAGTGAGCACAGGAGGGGCAACATCAATAAATTATAAATTCAAGATTCAGCTATGAGTGCAACCTTAACGGGATGAGAACCTACGACAATCAATCACAAATCCTACTTTCTACTCGATCCCCAGAAACGGTTGCCGAGAAACCTTTTGCAAACTCGTCATCGACATCTTGTTCGGTGCCCTTTGCAGCTGACGGCGGACACAGGACAGTGTCCGACCTTGAAGGCGAACTCTACAGCATGCCCTATACGCACTTGGGACTTGGGGCTTGAGGTGAACGTGACGAACCTTGGTATGTGCGGAACAGTGGCGGCGCAAGGAAAGGCACGAGAGAGCACGTCGAACAAGCCTTGCAGTCGGGAGAAGAGACGACTCAGGGATCGGCTCCAACCAGAGCATACATGTTGGGTTGCAATATGTCGGGGGATTAGCTGCTCTGCGACGTCTACTTTGTCCGAGGAACGCGTAGGGCGAAACAAAGGCCAACCTGAGTGCGATCGCAACAATACTCGCAACACTACAGAATCTTCACTTTCCCATATGAACATCATACATCTTCCCTTTTGCTCTACTGTCTGTCTGGAAACTCGGCAGCATTTTCAGAGTGAATGCTCAGTTGCGCAACCAGGGGATTTGCCAAACCTCCCTCTAGCTGAGAGTCGCACGGATGATGACGCAAGGCCGCATTTAAACAGGAACAAAATGGGCTTCGAAGCCGCACTCGACCTTGCGGGAAGCAAGTCGGGCAACACTAAATAAAGTGCGCTCTAACGATCTGCGCGCCATTCACAGCTAGGCGTATCTCTGCATGGCCCCAGCATCGGCTGGTGGTGGTGGTGGTGGTGGTGGGGGTGGTGGTGGGCGGTGGGGGCGGTGGCGGTGGCCTTCAGGCAGATCCAAGCAATCACATTCATCTGCATTCGTACTTGTTATACATGTATCTATGTACCTATCTATCTATCGATCTATCTATCTGTCTATCTTGCTTGCTTGCTTGCGGGGCGTTTCGGGCCAAGGGTTACCCCCTGAACCCCTTCGAGCTAGCGCTACGCCTCTGTGCTTGGTCTGTCGGAGTGAGACGTGTTGAGGATCGGCGGTGTGAGGGCCAGGTTCACTCCCCTACATGCCCTCCCCTCCGACGCATGTCCCCGCCTAGGCCGCCTCGTTAGTGCCGATCCCCTGTCTGTGCTGTTGCTCCGCGCTTGTCCCCGCACGTTGTTGGTGACAGCGTTTTTGGAGCTTGATAGTTGGGGTCCCCGTTTGCACCTGGTTACAAGTACGGTACCAACAGCGTGCCAAGGTTCCTGAGTACAGTGAACTGTTTTGTTGGGGTCACTTTTCCTACTGACTGCACGTCTTTGCTTTGCTGCGGTTTGTGGCTTAGGTTGCTTGTTTAGGTCCCCTGAGGAAACATGAGGGTAGGGTCACCGGAAGTAGGGGAACACATCACACTGCTGGGTACCTGCGCTGGTGGTGGTGTGCTGTGGTGGGAACAGAGGCCGTGGTTAGGAAGCACAGGGTCAGGGTACAAGGCCGACCTAGGGGAACATAACAAAACGTTCTGAGGCCCCTGCTTGTCCCAAGTCGAGTTGCGGTGGTGTTCGTGATTTGCGTCCCCTATTTGCTGCATCCTGCTGTGCCGGAAGATATTTGAAAAGGCACATCCCCGAAATGCGGGAGCCTTCAGGTAAAGAAGCAGAAGGGAGGACAAGGCTAGTGGACGGTAGAACACACTCGGGCCCCCGCATGTTCGTTGTGTGTTGGTGGCGGTGTCCTATGCTGAGTGTCCCCTACTTTTTGTGTGCAGCCTTTTGCTGCTCACTTGGTGCCCGGCTCTGACCTTTCAGGTCTTGGTCGCTTCGTGGTTTTTTCCACGCCGTTGTCGTAGAGGTAGCCAGGCTCCAATCCCATCCGCCCACTCTGCCCTGTCCCGGCGGTTCCTAGCCACACGGGCTTCTTCCGTCAGTGGTGCCATTCGCCTTGCCTTGCTGCTCGGATGCTGGGCCGGTCCAGCTTGGACGAGCTCTTGGAGGTCCAGAAACTCCTCAAGTCAGGGCCGCACTGCTCGGCTCTACACGGCCGACAGGGAGCGGTCCCGCACTCTCGGTGCAACCGTTTCCCCCGCACACCTCCGAGGGACTCCGGCAAGAAAGGCAACAGTACACAAAGACCAAGGGACTGCAGTGCCTTGTGGTGTATTTCGGCTGGTACATATGCGCAGCTCCCCCTTGACTGATATGAACAAAGATGAATGCACATCGCAGTGTAGTACGGGAATATGACATGCTAAATGGTCCCCGCAAATCAGTGTAGGGCAAGCTCGGAAAGATGGGGGCTTCGGGAAAAGCGTGCTTTACCCTCTGCTTCGAGCGGGCAGTGTCGACTGGCATTGAAAGGAACGAGGACGAATTACAGCCTCTAGGAAACCCGAATTCAACATCTCATACAACGGAACAGCAAGCTTTACGGTGTGTTGAAAAGAGTTTAAGATTGACGGCCGAGGTCGGGCCGTACCGGAGCGAGGTTTACCTGAGAAGGCAAGGTTCCCCCTGCCTTTAAAGATTTCACACCATGTGCATGTACAAGTACAGGAAGCGTGCACGGGATTATGCGCTCTCACCGTTGTTCCCCCTTTCTCTCACATCGCCTGCTGGTTCTTCCATCTTGGAGCGAGCTTCTTGTGGTGCTGGTCGTTTGCGTTTGGACCCGGGCCTGGAGAACAACTGCTTTGCCTTGCTGAGGAGACCAGCTACTTTCCGTGGGTGCTTGGCCACGAAGAAACGCAGTTCCAACTCCACGTTGCAGTTGCCTTTCCCCACCAAGGACAGTAGCAGACCAGTGTCGCGGCGTTGGTTGTGCCGCTGTACTGTACACAACGCCTACACTCATCGCCCTCCCCCTCATTGAGGGTCTTCCCGGTCTCCAGGTTGATGAGTTCCCTCGTGCGGCTGTCGTGTCGGAAACGCGATCCGATCCATTTGTCAAGTTCCTGCGGTTCGTAGAGGAGCACTGCACCATGTTGGGTCTGGAACCTGACGTACTCGGAAAGCGGCCTGCACTTTCCTTTGCCCTGGTTGTGCGACGTGCTTCCCCCCATGGATCCCTTGCACAGTGGGTCTCGGGTAGTGTCATCGTCCAGCTGTTTGCACAAGTCGCATGGTCTTCCCACACCGGTGACTTCCCCCACGGCGATCATGTGCTTGTAGCAGCCCGCCCCCATCTCGTGAGGTGGTAGAAAAGTGTCCAAGGCCGCGGAGTTTTTCCGCAAGTCTACATTCTACATTGTTCCCCCCACGTACTTTTGGGGCTTTGGCCATGAGGTTGCGTGGCTGTCTTCCCCCTTTTGGCTTCTCTTCCCCCATTTGGCTGGGATCTTCCGAACTGCTCCTCATCGTCGAATCAAGGTGCAGGTAGAAAATGCAAGACGATCCCCCCAGTTCCGCAATGATATTGCATGCCTCTTCCCCCTACTGGCGGGCCACCTTCCCGGAGGAGGGGCCGCCGTCAGGTTCCGAGGAATGTGCGGCTTGCAGGGGCCACTTAAGAAAAACGGCGTCGGCGAAGGACTCAAGCCTTCCCCCACTCGCAGGGACGTCCACCCAACAGACCTGCTGCGAACAGACAGCAGGCCCGGATGCCCCCCGAAGGAAGCGACGGGTCGACTTGAGCCAAAATGGCTACGCATACATATATATACATATATAATATA